CCCACACTATCCCTTTTCTTTTCATTCAGGCAGGATTCAACAAAAACCTCCAGTGAGAATTATGTCAGAGACGTCTGCTATTTCTAAAAAACAGCTAAAGGGGGAGCTCTCCCACTCAGTACAAAGCTAGGAAGCCTCACCTCCAGCTCATTCCAGCTCCTCAACAGCTGTTCCCCCAAACCCCTAAAGTAAAGGACCTAGTGCCCAGGAACTTGCAACGGGACCCAGAAAAAAAACCCAGAGCAAGTTCCTGTTGTGGAAGCGTCTGCACCTGGCTCCCCGTCCCCCAGCCCAGAAATGAAAAGCAGCTCATTCCTTCTAGAGTTCTGTCCTACCTCTCCTATCCCTCCCCCTTCCCAGGGGCTCTGTAGACCCCTTCCCAGCTAGGACATTACCTGACCCAGCTTTCGCTTCGGTCTTCGGCTCAAACTTGTTGCAGCTTCCCCTGGTTTCCAGGCCAAGAAGTCATGTGACCAGAAACTGGCCAATGGAAAGTCAGTTTCCCCAAGGAGGCGGAAACTTTTGACCAATAAGAGCAGGAATTCAGAGTCGGAGGAGACGGGAGCTCTATCTATGCAGCCCCTAAAACCTGAGCTTACCTCCTGGTGGGCGACTGCGTCCCAGCAAACTGAATTTTGGATGACCTCTCCTTGCCCAATCTAAACAGTTTCTACAGGGAACCTCCAAGCTGAAAGGCAAATAGTGGTGTCTCCCAAGATGACAAGGACAAGGGGCTACGATGGCCCCAGAATAGACAGAGACAGCTGTGGAATGGGGGATGGGACAAGGACGAGTGGCAAACTGAGGGTTTGGAAATAGCCCTCCTGCCACCTTCCCCGCCCTGCTCCACCGCAAACTGTTTAAGGATGCCACTGCAACTTCTTAAAAAGCGGGGGTAGGAGGGTTTTTTTTTTAAATCCCAAAATAAACTTGCTACAATAGGAGCAGCTTCTCCCCTCCCCCCTTGGAGCCCGCCCCCTTAACCCAAACAACTGGGAGTTCGGGGCGGGGCCGGGGCAGGCGGGATGCTAAACCCAGAAGAGCTCAAGCACTTGTCTCCCAGAGGTCTAGGTGCCAAGTCTCCGGGCTGGCTCCAGGACTGGCCCAGGAATGTGCTCAGAAAGGAAACTCGGTTTCTCACAGCCGAAACCCAGGGGGATGGGTGAAGGGACACAGGCTTCTCTGGGCTCAGCAGCCTATACCAGGGTCAGCTCAGGGGCCCAAGCTTTCTGCCATTTCCACTTACAGGGACCCCAGGAGTATCCATATCCTCAGCCCCTAAGCATCCTTCCCAGCAGAGCGGCTCATTCCAACATTTTCATATAACAACAGCAAAGAGTCCTTGTTGGGATTTTCAAGTCATTTTATTAATCCAACCATACAAAAGACCCCAACCACCACAGCTCTGCCACCACTTTCTTTCAAAAACTAGTGGAGCAAGGGCGAGAGGGCATAGACTGAGCAGACACTCCACTGGGAGCCATTTTACAAAATGCAGAGGGGGGACAACACAAAAATAGCAACAGATCGAGGGGTTAACAGAACCACAAACACAACACAAATGGAGCAGTGGGAGTGCCACCTACGCTGTTTTTGAGTGGGAGGACACTGGAGGGACGCCCAGACCTGCACTCTTCTCACAGCCTCAGAGGCAGCCAGCTCCACCTGGGCAGTATCTTCTCTCAAGTGCCAGGGGACTGGGAGAAGCAGGGGACCACAGAAAGTGGGCCTGTGCCACCATATCCCATACTGAGGGACCACAAACTTCTCTGAAGAGGGCCACACACCATGCCTGCCTTCCCTACCCCAATGAGGAATGTGTCCATGAGCTATAAAAAGGAACGTATGTGAGGGGCTCCTGATTCAGTCCCAGGCCCATCTCTGGCAAGCAGTGCTTAAAAAATAAAGACAAAACCCAGGGCAGGACTTTGGCTGAGAGGAATGAGAATCACTAGATCACCAGGCCCGAGATGATATGGAAGAACAGTAAGCCAAGATAGAAGCAAAAATTCCAGGCTCTTCCACCCTTTAGTACCATGGCAATGAGGATACCCGCTTCCCCACTCATGAGGCTGTGATGGGGCCTCACCTGGGTGCTTCTGTCAGAAGAAATGAGGTATAAGGGCTCTGTGCCTTCTCAAGCCTTCCTGTGATCAAGTCAGGAAGGCAGGGGAGCAAGGATGCTGAAAGCTGAATTACATCACTGCGTCTGTGTGCAGCAGATGGGGTGAGGGTTGGACCACCAAGCTTGGACTGCCACAGCAGCCCAAACTTCAAATACTCTGCACTCTGTCAGACCACATATCCCAATTTTTGGCAAAAACATGGTCATTAGGAAAAGAACACAAGAGAGGCTAAGAAAGGACCAGTGACTTTGGTATGAGGAAGATATCTCCTGACAGCATCTCTCACCTACTGTCTTGAACCCCCAAATAACCAAGAAACTGCCATAGCCAGGAACTCTCCTGCTTCTTTGAGCTATTTGGTTGTCTGAGGGGGCAGGAGTCGGGTAGGTCTTGGAGGAGGCAAAGGGGGTATAAAAGGGGGGAAATTCCCATTTATTCCCTAAAGCTGTCTCCAAGAGCCCATAAAAAGGCTATTGCAGGGATGACAAGAGACCCCAATTCCTCTGGCTGAAAACCTTTAAGCCTTGACTTCAAAAACTAAGGCTGGGACTGCGGGGCTATGTAGGGCTGTCAGGCACAGGTGTTAGGGGCATCCTTCATCTGCAGAGGGGCCGCCCCTGCCCTCCGGATCTTCCTCCAGCCCACCCCTCTTCTCTTACAGCCACACTCCTAGGCCTCCAGAGACAGCCACACAAAAAATGGCTCTGCTCAGCAGGGCTTTGGTTTCCTGGATCTCTGCAGATCTCCACACGTAAGTTTCCCACAAAGCGAGCAATCCAGGCTCTTCTGCCTGCCCGCCTCAATTCCTTTTCAGCCCCAGGAGCCGTTGTGTTTCTGCCCCATGGGGATGGAAAGCCAGCACAAACAAGGACCAAGAGCCAGACTTGGAAACAATCACCCTGGAAGAGCAGGGAGACATACGCACTTCCCTGGGCCACCTTGCCAGTGTCACCCGTCATTAGCAGCCACCAGCTGCCCCATGCCCTCACGGATGTAGACAGACTGGATCTCCTTGGTCTTGAGGCAGAGATCACAGGCCCAGACTGCAGAGGCCTCGGTGGTTAGCAGCCCGTAGGCACTCTCAGTCATGCCCGTGCACTCGCGGTGGAACCACTTCTGGCAGGAGGCCTCACACAGAATGGCATCCTGGTCGTCATTCACCTCACTCCGACAGGCACCACATGGGTACACCAGGCCGGGGGGAGGCTGGGGCCCCGAGCCCCCGCCTGCCTTGCCAGGGGGTGCCAGGCTGTTGACATCTGGAGTGCCCCCACCCCGCCCGCTGCTGTTTGGGGGGAAACTGGGCTGGTTCCCATTGACAGCAGCAGCTGGGGAGCCTGAGTGGGGTTCCTGGGGAAAAGCAGTGGGAGCAGATGGATTTAAGGGCTTCCCCCCATCCTCGCCACCAGGGCCAGGAAAGCCAGGGTCTGGACCAGGAAAGGGACTTGTGTTGGGGGGCAGGCTGGGGAGCCCCTGACCAGGTCTCTGGAGAGGAGAAGGGCCAAAAGGAGCCCCTGGCTGGGCAAATCGTTGGGGGAGAGAAGGGGGCCCCAGCTCCCCTCTTGGAGGCTGTCCCATGGTGGGTGAGATCATGGGACCAAATCCTCCCACTGGGCCTGGCATCATCTGCCCACCAGGAGGACTGAAGTTCTGACCCAGAGGCTGGTTGAAGGGTTGGCTAGGAAAGTTCATGTTGCCTGGGGGTGGGTAGCCAGGGCCCTGGGGGGGCAAGTTGAAAGCAGGGCCCATGGGATTGGGAGGGAAAGGAGGAGGCTGTCGACGAAGTGGCTGGGGACCCCCTCCACCTCCAGTGCCATAACCTGGGGGAACCTGGCCTGCCATGCCCCCCTGTACACGGAAACCTCCAAAGGGCACAGGGCTGCCAAGGAATGGAGGGGCTGCGCCCCCCACCTTAGGAGCTCCGAAGTCATCCTCAAAAGGGTTGGATGCAACCAGGTGATCCACCATGGGAGTCGGGGGTGGCGCAAACTCCGTCAGATGTGAGTATGCAGGGCCCTAGTAGGGAACAGATGAGTGAAGGATGAGGTCATGGAGGAAGACAGAGCTAAACCAAGAGAGCACCACAAACACAATACTCGTTTTGGAAGCTGGTACTGACCAGCCCAGATCTAAAATCAAGATGGACCTTAGACTGCAACAAACAAAGAGTGCATAATGGAACCCGAATAGTACAGCCTAGTTCTGCCTGTTTTGAAAAACAGGCAGAACTAGGCTGAAACTCCAGTTGACTCTGAACAACCTCAAGACCCTGGAGCAGGTATTAGATAGGAATAATGAGGCTGAGCGCAGTGGTTCATGCCTGTAATGCCAGCACTTTGGGAAGCGGAGGTGAGAGGATTGTCTGAGCCCTGGGGTTCAAGACCAACCTGGGCAACTTGGCGAGCCCTGTCTCAATAAATTAAGAAAAATTAGCCAGACGTGGTGGCACACGCCTGTAGTTCCAGCTAATTGGAAGGCTGAGGCAGAAGGATTGCCTGAGCCCAGCAGGTCAAGGCTGCAGTGGCTGTGAGCATGCCACCGCACTCCAGTCTGGGCCATAGAGTGAGAGTCCTACTCAAAAAAGAAAAAAAAAGGAATAATGCCTAGCTCCCAACACTGTTAAAGCACTTTAGCACAATTCCTGGAACTTAGAAAAGGCTTAATGAATGGTAGGTGTTGTGTTATCATCATGAAGGAGCCAGGATAGGAAAAATGGGAGAGAGAAATGCTGTAACCCTACCTGATAAGGCCTTTGGTCAAACCAGCTCTTGAGGGAAGATACTGTCGCTTAAATTTGTTATAAAGTTGAGGAAATGACCAGAGACAGTGCAAGAAAGACAATTTTCTCCCTGAACCTGATGCAAAATACAGATACTGGAGTGGCAGAGTAAAAGGGCACCACCAAAAACTGGTAGGAACTACCCCCACCACCAACCAGCACTCACCTGAGTATTTGACTTTCTTCGTTTCTTTTCTGGGCTCTTCATTTGCAGACCTGGAAGAGCAGCAAAAGGCAGAAGCAGACAAGTTTCCTTGAGGTTTCCCCAACCTCTTTTCTCCCAGTCATGCTCTGAGAAACTCCTCATGTATTCTTAGCTTATTCAACAAATGCTGACTTGTGTATTAGTATTTAACAGATACCAACAACAGGTGTGATATGGAAAATGAGTTGCGACTATGATCACACTGTCAGTTGCGTCCTCCTTTAGAAGAATGTCCCATCTTTTGATAGCCTCAGACTCCAAGTGAGTCCTGAATTCCATGTGGTTCCAAACCCTACAGCCCTCAATCTGTGACAACCTGTCCCCAACCCCTGGAAGGCTACACCCACCCACCCTTTTCACCTGAGCCTCCCTCCAAGCCCTTCGGCCTAAGAAGCACCCGCACCCACCACCCCTCCCCTCCGAGGTTCCCAAGTCCTGGGCCTCCAGCCCCCTCCCCTCGCCGGGCTCTCACCGGCCTTGCCCTGCTTCCTCCCGGTGCTGGGCGGCGCAGGGGGCGGTGCGGGGCCGCCACCTCCCTCCAGCTTGTCCGGTGGGGGCGGCGCCGAGGCGGCCATGGAGTGAGGGACCGATCAGCGGCGGCGGGGGATGGAGGCGCCCTCGGGCTGCACCATCGCCCAGAAGGGAAGTCGGGGCAGCGCAGGCCCCCGAGCTGCAGAAGCCCAGAGTGGGGAGATAGGAAGGCGCCGAGCCGGAGCGCGAACTGTGCGCTCACTCCAGACTCGCCGCCCGCCAGCGGCAGCAGCGGCCGGAACCGGAAGTCGGCTGGGCCGGCACCACTGAGCGCGGCGAGGGAGGGGAGCCCGGGCTGAACAAGACCCTACGTTCCAACCTTGGAGGTCGGGGAGCTGGCACCACAACCCGACCTAGTGGAGGGGGTCGTATGCTGCGAGGGAAGCGGCCCACACCGGCTCCCCGCGGGGCGGCGGATTGCGTCACCCCCCGCAGTCGGACTGTACCAACCCGGCCGCGGAGGTGCGCGCGCCCAGGAGGCCCAAGCAGCGTAGGGGCCGGCGTTGGGGCGCCGAGGTGCCCGCGGCTTGAGCTCTGCCTCGCCCCAGCCCCCTGCGCGGGCACGACGTTCACAGGGGACCGTGTCCCGGGTCGCCCCACAGCCGCGTCCTCCCGGCGCAGAAGCTCCGTAGCCTCCCGCGGGGGCCGCGATCTCCGGCCTCCCCTCCCGCCGCCGAGAGCCCGCGGCGAACACAATAGGCTTTCGAGAGGGGCTTAGAGGCCGAGGTAGAAGAAATATGGACTTTAATGAAGATTTTTTTTTTTTCCCTTTGGTATAAGTGAGACCCGTGAAAACATCCAAACAAAAAAAAGGCCAGGATGTAAACAGGCAACTCTCCCTTATCCACAAGGCATAAAGAAAGAGTGGAGCCGGCTTCTTTCGTGTGGCCATGCTGGACCTAGTACAGGGCCCAGCATGCAGAAGGTACTCAATAACTGCAGGTTTAAGTTTCTCCTTCGTGAATCTGTAATAGGTATTCAGTCAAGTTTCTGCTTCTCAGCCTCGTGGTAAGAGGCCCAAGTTTTTATAGGCCTAGCTGGAAATCAATTTCATTTGCCTCAGGTCTCTGGTATAAAAGGTAATGCTGCCGATCCCAGTTACCATGCAGGCCTGGGAGAGGAAAATGCCAATAGTGTAAAAGGGCTTGGAAAAGTCAAAGAGGTGGTGTATAAATGTAATCGATTATCATCTTGTGCTCAAGAATAAGCCACGGAAAACAGAATTAGGAAAGTAAATCTACACTCCTAAAATATATGCATATAAAATAAAAAACCAGTGCAGTTCCAAATCTACAGATGGTATTTGGGATTGTCTACTGCTTTAGAGTCGCAATACCCCTGTTCCAGCCTCCACAAAATCCACCTGGAAGAGTTAACCATACAGGAGGCCCACCTTCAGTCATACCCCAGTATCCCAAGAAGGGGCAGCTGGGCTACAGGAGGAAGGCTACACTTTGGCTGTAGAGAATAATAAGCATGCAACATTGGAAGGGCGGGGCTTACAAAATGTATATACAGACCCCTTGGGGTGAGGGGCCCCGGCCAGGAGGCACTGAGCAAGGGAGGGGTCCATCTCCCCCCTGGCCGGGAGGGGGGCTCTGGGGCAATCTCTAAGGGTTGCATATCCCTAGGGGGAGAGGGGACAGCTGCCACTCTTGCCTCTGTTCTCCCAACCCAAACTGAAAGGGGTGCTGAGCAAGGAGAGGACAGGGTCCCAGAAGCCAAGAAGGTGTCAGCACTCCGTCAGTGAACTCAAGGGCCTGAGGACTCTTTGCATAAAATATCTGCAGACCTAGGAGATGGTCAAAGGCACAAAGTTTAAACACTGGGAGAAGGGAGGGAGTTGTTGAGACCTGGGGTATCCTGAAGCCCAGAGATAGACCAGAGGTGTGATTCATTCCCCCTTCCCCAGAAGGGTGATTGCTCCACTGGGCCTATCACCACAGGAATTTTCCATGACAAGCACTCACCTTGGGGAAGGGGTCATCAGATTGGCACAGGAAAGGCCCAGGCAAAGGGCCACTCTGTACATTAATACTTTGGTGATGTCTGAGGAGAAGCAGTATTCTCCCCCAGGCTTCTGACTCAAACCCTCTCAGCGGGATACTAAACCCAGCATCCACACTACTCCCATCTCCTACACAAGGCCAAGCCCACAGAACACTCCCAAATGATGTCCTGAGAGTTAGGGACTAGGGTGGAAGGGGTTGGAGGACATCTTCTGGGAGAGTATTGGGGCGGATCACAGTTTCCGCTCCACAGGTTGCTGTAGACACAGTTCGCTGCCCGCAGAGATGATGGGCAAGTGATTGTCCATGTGGTAGCTGATGAGGTGACTGACACTCTCGAAGCGGTGATCCTTTGTACGAACCTGGGAGGGTAGGAAGGAAGTAGGTCAGTTCAGGTGATGAGTCAAATAAGATCTCGACCTCCAAGTTTGAGAAAGATAGAACAGTCAAGAGGACTGAGGAAGGAGAAAGATGGTGGAGAGGAGGTGAGGCCTGTCAGTCTTGATCACTGAGGCTCCTCTACAAAGAGAAACTAGAGACAGTTGTGGGGATGGGCAGGTCAGTGAACTGGGAAAAGGCAAAGGAGACATCGCTCCCGAGACAGTGAAGCTGAAGGATATCTACACCTTTCTTGACCTGGAGGAAGTTGACATCTCTCAGAAGTATATACACAGTGCAAAAGACATGGAAAGGAGGCTGAGACTACTCGAGAATAGAGACCAAAGTTCTGAGGGCAGTGGGACGGACAGTGTGGATAAGAGAAATGACAGTGGTCTGAGCCCTGGGTCTGGGGAGCTGGGAAGGCCCCTGGATTATTTTGCAAAAGGAAACTTGGGATATCTAGCCTCTAAGCCTCTGACATTGAGCATCACAACCACTCCAGGGTGGTTTCCTCACTTATCAAGAGAAGGGGCACAGATCAGATGAGCACCTTCTAGCTCTTATGGGCTTAAGGCCTGGGTTTTGAGGACTAGCTAGGACTGTAGGAAACAAAGCTCAGGTTAAAGGATGTGAGAAGGGAAGGAGCCCTAAGCCACTGGAGGCAGATGCCAGGCAGCTTGAAGAGCAAGGGAGGCCTGTAGAGCTGCCCAGTGGGGGATGTCTAAAAAGCAACAAATGAAGAAATGGCAACACTGTCGGGCTCTATGCTTTCCTGCCACTCCCCACCCATACCGCTGCCACACTCACCACACCCTCAGGATCCACTAGTAGCAGGTGCTTGGGCTGCCCACTCTGCAAGCCAGTGAGCACATACTGGCCAGGTGTGGTCGTGCTCTCCCGCACCAGGAAGTCCCCGTTGAGCCGCAGCAGTGCCTCAGCCTCCCGCCGGCTTAACTTCCCATGAAACCAGGGCTCCCCTCGGAGCTGCTCAGCCATGGACACAGACTGGGGAGGTGGAGGCACTCGAAGGGCATCTTCAAAGGGCTCTGGGGGTGTAGAGAGAGTTTAGGGGAGGCAGCAGGCACAACACACCCAGGACCCAGACATCAGGGAGGGGAAGCCAGGAAGGAAAGAAGCTGGGCAGGAAAGGAGGAGGAACCAAGCAGGAAGCTGTGGCTACAGAGAGGAGAGAGGAGCACTCACTCATGTCAAAGAGGTCCCGGGGTGCACTGCCATTGATGGCAGGATTGGGGGGCCCAGCCCCACCAGCTGCTTGCCGGGTCTTGTCTAGGTTCTGAACATTGACGTAGGAGGGATCATCAAAGAGCTCTCTGCCTGCTGAGGACAGGGAGGCTCGACAGTGATCCCAGCCCTGCCTCCCGCACTCCTGGCTCTGCCCATCTCAGTTCCCTTCATACCTGGGCAGGGTGGTGGTGGCGGCATCTGTTTGCGGACTTCTGGTTCTCCCCCGACAGGCTGGCCTACGGGCTGCGGGGATAAAACTAAGGTGAGACCAGAGGCCCTAACGGGCTACTCCATTGCATACCCAGCCCATCTCCACCCAAGCAACTCACCAGTGTAGCTCCCAAGTGGCTGGGGGTCTGCGTACTGGGTGGAGTCGGGCGAGGAGCCCCTGGAGTGGCTCCTTCCCGAAGCCTCATGTCTACCACCCCCCCAAGAGGGGGTTCCTTCCCAGGGAAGTCATTATAGTACTGATGATCAGGTGGCTCATCCTCCTCCTCATCCCAAGCTGAGCCATCAAAGCCAGCCATCCTGAGAGAGACAGGACAGAGTGACAAGTGTGGGTGGGTGGGTGGGAGGATGGGAGGATGGGAGGAGGGCAACAGTGGCCATGTCCTGGACATTTACTAAGGGTTAGGCCTGAGGCTGGGTGTCTCGTTCACATTATCATTTCATTCTCCTAACAACCCTATAAGGTTTCCCCAAGGTCTCACAACTGAAAAGTAGTACAGCTGAGACTTAAATTCTGGTTTGACTTTAAAACTCATGTCCTGATCACTGTGCTTCTCCCAAGAGCAAGGGAAGCACTCTGCAGTTAGGACAGGGCTCTGCATCCCTACCAGCCCCAGAGTTCATCCCAAGGCCTGAGATGGGAAAGGTAGTGATCTTGGGGAGAAGAGACATCCTCCTAAACCCAAATTCTTGATAGCTGCTAAAGGCAGGAAAACACAGCAAGAGGAATGGAGAAATGGGCAAGAAGGAATAACAGGCCAGAAACCAGGAGGCTGGGAAAAGAACATCCCACCTCGCTAGAGAGAGAGATGCAACTTGAGGCCCTGGACTGTAGCTCCACCATGGGCATAGGAAGAGCTGGCCCTGCAGCAGGCAGGCCTCAAAGGCTTTCCTGATGGGCCACAGGAAGCGTAAGAATGGCAGGAAGTAGGTAGCTGGGCACACGGGTTCTTTTTCCTTCCCTGAACCTCTCTGGGCTGAGCGTGGGAAAAGCAGCTCTACTCTCCCAATCCCAGCCTGGGGCCCACGAGCTGCTTACATCCTCCCTACCTGCTTACCTGTCATGGGGGGTGACCAGTTTTGGGGGGTTCCTGAGGTATTGTTTGAAGCGCAACTCGAAGGCCTGGCCAATGGTGCTGATGACGTCCTGGGCAAGCCCTTCAGGACACTCCAGGATGTGGCAGGCTGGGGGCACAGCAGAGGCTGTCAGTGAGCTCTGAGGTAGGGTTGCTAGGAGGAGGTGAGCACAGGGGCCCTTATCTTTCTCAGCAGGAGCACCTGCTTAGCTCTACTAGTAAGAGCAGGGAAAGATGACCCCAGGTCCTGCTCACCTACCTCATGGGCAGCTGGTCCTACCCAGTGCTCCCCACCATGCCTCACCTCTCTGATTCACAGGGTCTTTGGCAACATAGGCGACATACTCAGCTGTGTCCTGGGGTAGACAAAGTCAGAAGAGGCCAGTTAGCTAAATTTTACAGCTCACCTTCCCCTGACCCCTAAAACCCAGTCCTTTTCAGACGTCCCCGCAATCCTAGCACCCCTACCTCCCTAGCCAATGTCCTCCCAACCCATAGCCTCTTGCTGTTCACCCACCGCTTTTGCTGTTCCCCGACTCACCGGATCCCCGCCAGACGCAAATGAGATAGATTGCATGTGGTGGTTGGCGATGATCTGAGAATTAGGGCACGGGATAGAGACGGAAGGGAAGGCTGTCAGGTGGCTTCAGGGCCCACACAGGGGCCTCCTGCCCCGGCCCACATCCCTGGTGCCCCAGTCTCATTTCTCCTCATTTCTTCTTCCCTCCTGTTCTGCTGCTCCCAAACCCTCTCTCCTAGCTTTTGGCCTAACTAGATCTCCCCTTAGCCCCGCCTCAGTGGTTCCAGTCCCCCAGCCCAACTCCACCAACCTGTTTGCAGTCTGCGGCCATGAGGTTGAGGCTGCTGGTGGAGACGGTGAGAGTGATTGGCATTCCAGCAAATTTCAGGTTACTCCTCCCCAGGATAGAGCTGAGCGGGCGGCTACAAGGCTAAGGGGAGCCCAGGGTCTCAGAAGCTGTGTTCCCAATGCCAGGAAACCACACTCCCGCCTGCTGGCCCTCCTCATACCCCATACTTGCTTTCCCCCTGCCCCTCCACATCCAGCAGCATCCCTATTCCCACCGACCCCAGGTACCTTTCTCCTCCTTGTCGCCCCCTTAGCACCCGGCACAGCCTCACACACCAGACTGATGGCCTCCCTGGGGAAAGGGAAGAAGGTATTCAGACCCAGAGCCTGCCTCCCACTAGGGCAGCCACAGGCCTGGGGGAGGGGAAAGCCAGACTAGACTCCTGGGGCACTCCAGGCTCTTTGTCGTGTTGGATTGAATTAAGGGCCTTTAATATTTGATGACACTGAGAAGCCGCTTCCTGGCTGATTGGGTTAGGGCCTCAATGGGTACAGCCCCACCCCCTTCCAGCTACCAAATGTCCCATTCCCTTCCCAAAGACAGCAGCAGCCTTCCATTTGCCCCCAGTTCCTACTCCACCCCTACCTGCCAGCTGCATCTGCCACCTTCCCCTCAGCTCCCAAGGCTGGACAGGTAAGAAGATCCAGACCAGAGTTGCCTCTTCTCATTCAGACCTAGCCCTACTCCCCCAACTTTCTCTCAGTTCCCTTACTACTCAAAACAAGCCACCACTCGCACTGCCACCAAGTGACCCGCTCCCTTCCTCCCTTTCCTGTGGCCTCCCATATCCCAGGACTCCCACCGTCCATCACCCTCCCCACTGACCTGGTGACCTGAGTCCGCGTGTTGAAGTCGAGGGCTCGCATTGACTGCAGGACCTCCACACAACCCATGTACTGAGGGGAGGGAGGGGAGGAAAACGGGTCAGCCACTTTCCCCAATCCCTTCACAAAGGGCCCTAGGACTTTTCCCTACGTGGTCCCTGAGGGAAGTAAAGAGGAAGTTCTACCCACTGCCTGTGGCTACATCCCACAACCAACGTGAAAGACAACAGGGAAAGGGGAGAGGAAGAAGGCAAGCAGGAAGGACCTCATGCATTAGGAAGAGCATTTGGAGGGGACTGACAGGCACTGGGTGGGATAGAGTGACATCTCCAGAAAGGGGGAGTGGAGGGGCACATCAAGAAGTCACTCATTCCGACACTTAACTAGGAGCTTCTGCCATGCTGAGCATTGTGCTAGGCATGGCAGGGTGGGGGTGGGGGCAGCAGAGCTGGAAGGGAATGGGCTACAGAATCAGAAAAGGGGCGAGAAAGGTTTGAGAAACAGGACACTGAGATGGAGGGTGTTGGGGAGCAGTAGGAAAAAGATTCCGGCAGAGCTGGAATGAGCAGAACTGGAGGGGTCTGGGGGAAGGGAGGGGAGGATGTTCACTCACCCGAACCAAGTAGGAAACCCCGGGTCCCATGACTTTGTCGTTGGGATGCAGCCAGCCCCGTGTGGGCTTATTGACAAAGCTCCCGTGCCGGGTCCACTCCTCGCCCCCCAGCTGGCCCCCTTCCACCCGAGTCCTGCGCCCGCCGCCTCCACTCAGCTTGTTCATGTCCTGGAGGAGGGGCAGGGGGCCTGAGTCTGGCATGGCTGCCCCTACGATCCCCTCCCCATCCTCGGCGGCCCTTCCTGGCTCCCCCTTAGGCCCTGGGCGCCCTCCAGCCGGGTTGGCCAGCTTCAGGTTGCTCATCCGGGGAAAGAAGGAGCACAGGGTAGTGGGACTGTCGTCCCCAGGCAGAGGAGGCAGGATGGGCCCCAGGGACGAGGCTGATGGAGAAGGCAGCTCCTCCGGAGGGGTGGACCCTGAAGCCCCCTCCTCCAGCGATGACAAAGACTCATTCCGAAGTGGGTTGTACTTGGGCTTGGGGGGCAGGAGATCCATGGCTGGGCTGAGGGTGGGGGTTGCTGCCCAGCCCGGCCCCCCTGCCAGTTCGGGCAAGGGGGCCAGGCAGGGGGCATCCCCAGACCCTTAGCCTGGTCAGACCTCTGTGGCCCAGTAATCACAGGAGTCCTGGGGAAGGAGAGAGACAAGTGGCTTCCGCTCCCCCAGCTCAGACCCAGACAGTTTCAGGCCCCATCCCCGCCCAGCGTGGAGCCTCTTCTCAGGCCGAGAAGAGAACGGGCTGGACCCAGAGCTGCCTAGCTCCTCCCCAGGGGCGGGGAGCTAAGGGGAGAGACCAATCCGGAGGACAGTGCTGACTCACAGGCTCAGAGGGGCTGAGCCCCCACCACCGCCCCAACCTAGAACTCAGGCTATCCGTGCCTCTCTCCCCTGCCCAATACAAACAACTAGTAAGCTGGGGAGGAGTAAAGTGGAAGGAAAAAGGAGTGGGAAGGAAAGGAGGGAGATAAGAGGAGGTCTAGATCAATCCAAACCGGACACAGCAGGCCATGGGAGCAGGAAGCCTGGGAAGGGTAGGGGGAATGAGGGAGGAAACAGAGCAGCTGCTGTGGAAAAGGGAGGGGATCCCAGAGCTCAGCATTTCCCTTCCTGTCCTGGTTGAACACTCAAATTCCTCTGTCCTCCAGCCAGGCCACCCCTCATCACTGCACATACACGGGGTGTTGGCCCCAGGAAGCCTGGGCCATTAGCATCCTCTTCTACAACAGCTGTGGACTGGAGCAAGTGAAATGGGGAATAGAAGGACATGGTCCCAGTGGATGCAAAGCAGGGCCAAAAGGAAGAGCAAAGTGGTGAAGGAAGGGAACTAACGTCCAACGTGGTGCATCAGGGAGCTGCCAGACAAGAATGGAACAGGAGGACATGTTGGTCAAGCCTCATTCTCTTAGCATGGCACCTACCACACCAAGCAGCAATGACCCATGACCAAGCATTGTTCGTTCCCTCTTTCCATAGACCTAGTTAACAAGACAGGCTGGTAAGGGCGAACATGAGGGGTCAGGGCAATAACACTAAGGTCAACTCCCTAGACCTGCCAGGTATACTCATGTCCCACCTCTTGCAGCGCTCCAAGCCCCACCATAGAGTGCAATGTCCCTCACACCAGGGAAGGAGTCTAGCTGGGAGAGGTGGAAGACTGAAACAGGTCTCCAAGGGAAATGGGAACTACAGGCCAGGAAGATAGGGGTCAAAAGACAAATCTGTCAATAAGTACAAAAGAAAGGGATGCCAGGGAAGATGGGCTGAGGCTGGATACAGGGAACAGTCCTAAACCCATTCCTTCCACCCACAGCTTCCTGCCACAGCTCTGCTGGAGGAGACCAGAAAGGAAGCTGAAAAATGACCAAAAAAACAAGAAGTAAAGAGACACATATTCTCCCAGGCTCACCTTGGAATTACCCTTAGATTTATTTCAGAGGATTATAATAATCTATATGATTATTGTGATTAACAATGCTAGGACTTAAAATGTGTTGGTTGTTATGTTTAACCCTTTCATCTCCACTTAGTCTTCATCCCAAGAGAGGTTTGTCAATCCATCACCACTACTGAGAAGGAATGCTATCACTCCATTTCCTAAGGATCCAGCTCTCAGGGTTACAGAGAATGAGGAAAGGACACTGTCATAGTCTTACACCCCCAAAACACAAAAAACACACTAGAATGTCCTCATCTTTAGAGATGGTGTTATGTGGCAGCTAGCAGTATCCACAGGTGGGGACGGACCAACAGGTGTGGGCATTTGGAAAAGAAAGAGGAAGTATGACTCTAAATTTGCATAAGGAGAAAGGAGATTGCCTACTGGAAGTCCAGGTGATTGGGTGTGGGAGTGAAACGCTTTATGTGGCTTCCCAGCCAAGCTGGGAGGAGGCAAGAGGGCTGGGAGGAGGCAAGAGGGCGGGAAGCAGCAGGAAATGGCGAAAGCCTCAGGAATGTTTCCAGCAGGGAAGGCTGGGAAAACGGGGACAGGAGGAATGCCCAGACAAGAACTCTGGCTAGGGGGAGGGGAAGAGCCAGAGAAGTAGGGCCTGACCAGTACCCCCACCAAAAAAACGGACAACCAAAGAAAACACCCACCCCCTACTCTAAACCAGTTTTCTGGTGGTAGAAAATTTCCGCCCCATCACACCCACATGCTACACAACAAATCCATGGCCCTACTCAGCTATGGATAGGTAAGACCTACAGTTATTTCTGAGATAGGGCTGGCCCCGGGAAGGGAAATTTAGGAAGTGGCGCTGAGAATCTATGACCAAGTCTCTCTCACTTGCTCACTCGCGTGTCTAAGCCCAAGTTCAGCCACCTTGAAGTAGGTCCACCCTTGGAGAAGGGTAAGAGAGAAACAAGTCTGCCTCCAATCTCACTCCTCACAGCCAGAGATGGGAGCTCTGACTTCTCACCCAGTGGAGAACGGGAGAGCTGGAAAACTGATCCCAAGGCCCCAAAGAGAGGAAGGACAGGAAAACTGCAGGTGAACTTTCTGGGACTGAAGACAAGGCTTTTAGCCTGATGACCTGGGTCCCACAGGGATGAAGCTCCTGAGGGGGCGTGGTCCCCTAGGAAGCATGCATCAGACTTCTAGGAGGCGAGGCTTCTGGACAATCAGACGTGGATTACGGAAAAGGCGGGGCTTAGAGGGGCGGGGCCCTAAGGGGGCGTGGCTTCAGCGAATCCGAATCTTTCTTGAGGAGCAGCGCTTTGCTCTTTTGGGAGCTAGGCTTTTTGACAGACGGGAGTTAGCGGAGAATTGTTGCGAGGAGGCGGGGTTTCAGAGAATGGAAGGACTAACAAAGGGTTTTTCGTAGTAGCGCTTGGAACCATATCTGGGGAAGGACTTCCAGGACCACTGGGAGACAAGGTGGGGTTGGGGTCAATAAATAAACAAGTCGGGGTTCGGGGAGCCCCCTGAAATTGGAAGGTGGGACTTCCGGGGAGGGGGCCTCAGGAGGCGGGACTTATTAATGAAGACCGGAAGTGGGGTCCCGGGAGAGGGGTTCCGGGGTGGAGGAGTGGGTCACCTAAGGAGAAAAAAAAAATCAAGACTCACCAGGGCCTCATGGAGTCTCCGTACCGCACCGCGGGCCTATTTGGCTCCAGATCACCCCACTGCCTGCTTAGGTCGCAGCTCCAACTTTCTCCCCGGGCCCGGCCTCCCTGGAGAAACTTTATTGCACTCACTTCCGGCCTCACTAACCCCTGACCCTCTACCTCACGGTCCCTCCTTCACCCTTCCCACTTTCCCGAGCCAGCCAATGGTAGCGCAAGAACGCGCACGGGAGCAGCGATAGCCAATAAGAGGCCTGTTTCTGCCCCAAACTCTTTCTTGAGAAACGTAAGAACTGCAATCCAATAGGGACTCGAGGGGAAGCAAATCTAAGCCAATCGAAGGCCTGAAAGTGAAACTGTCCCGCCTTGCGCCGAGCGGACCAATAGGAAGTGCGGGCGGCGTGTTTGAAAGCGAGGCCAAAGTGGGTGGGAGCGCGTGCTGCTGGGAGTTGTTTGGAGGTTGGCGGTGCGGAGTTGGAAACCCGCAAGCAGCGCGGTTATGTCGCACAAACAAATTTACTATTCGGACAAATACGACGACGAGGAGTTTGAGTACCGGTTAGTGCCGGCGCGGGGGCCATAGCAAGGTCGTAAGCCTTGGTAATTGAAGGCACGAGGAGTTACGGGGACTGAGGCACAGAAATGGCGCATGCGCTGGAGAGAAACGGGATGGGTGTGCGATTGGTTGAAGGGTTAGGGCGCATGCGCGGAGGGTGGGCGGCGATCGTAAAACAATAACTTGTTACGAATTTAGAGTCTGCCCTGTGTTGAGAGGAGGCATAGGTGGGCGTGGTTAGAGTGCTGACAACCGTCACCATTGAGGGTTTATGGATCGTCTCTTAACTGTGTTGGGCAAATTAAAATTGCTTGTCTTCTGTAGACTGCTTGTATGATAGTAATTCTATAGATCATACTGGGAGAAGGTGGCGAAAAGCAGAGCTGGAATTTTACTCAAGTCCTCAGTTGCTTATTAATTCGTGGAAAAGACAACAGGTGTAGTTGTCTGGCTTGTTTTAGAAAGGAGGTTGCTTGGAACTGCAATGGAATGAAACTGGCCATGGGCATTGAGGAAAGACGTAATATGGGCCTAATACATGACCTTTAAATAATCTATTTAAGGAAACAATTAAGGGATGCTTACAGGTTTCAGATATTATGTTCAAGTCCAAGGATAAGACGGGGGCTCTGATGTTCATAAACGTAATCTGTTAAGATACTCCAGAAAGGTGATAGATATATGCTATGCTAGAGCCGAGCCAGGGTGTGATGGGAGCATGTAGGCTGAGATGAGACTTAAGAAAAGTAGGAAGGAGAAAGCACCTCTTGACTGATATTGTTTAGAAGACACTGGATAGCCATCTGCCAAGGACGGTTAAAAAAGGAATCTCTGCACAGGATGCAGTGTTTGGATTTGATAAATTTTCGGTTCATCATAATTCCAGATTGGAAATGAAGGAATACAAAGTATTCTTTCTTTTTTTTTTTTTTTTTTTGAG